ATCCCTCTTCTATCCGCCTCCCACTCTCTCCCTATTTATTTCAGAACCCCCTTCCCCTCCCCCTTTTCTGATGAAGGGTCTAGGCCCGAAATGTCAGCCTTTCTGCTCCTATGATGCTGCTTGGCCTGCTGTGTTCATCCAGCCCTGCACCTTGTTGTCTTGGATTATAAGTGTGACTTTTTTTTAGGTCATCTGGGTTAATATGACAATCACTTTTCATCTGGGTGCTCTAGTACTCAACTCTGTCAATGGGAAGACTTTTTCTCAGAACTGACCTCAAAATTGAGCACTTTAAAAAAGGTTGAGAAGACATTTGTCAATGAGAACAAACCCATCTTCTTCAGTTTATTCCTACAATGGAAGGTAACCCTGAAGCGATTGTTGTAAATTTTTACTGAATCCTTTGGAAAGCCTTTACAGCATTCTTAAAGTGCAGTGCCCATAACTGCACACAAGTGGTTCAGTTAAGGGTAGCAAATGTTTTATAAAGAATCATCATAACTTCCTTGTTTTTGTATTGTACACCTTTTGTATTGTGACCTCCCCAGGGGTCAGATCTAGAAACATTAATGTTTCTGGAAACATTAGTGTACACCTCTACATAATAGGCCTAGGAGCCTGGATGCATTTTAACCACCTCCCAAACAGCATCGCCATCTTCGACAATCAGTGCATATAATCCCCCGGTCTTTCTGTTCCTGCAACCCTTTTTATAATCTAAGCTTTTACTGTTCTCTTCATTCTTCATGCCAGAATATATCAGCATCAAATGCCATCATCCATTCCTCCATTCTACCCAGTACCTTACAGTGTATCATCCCTACAGATCACCATTCTTCCAAGTTCTGTCTCATCAGCAAATTTTGAAGTCCCATACTTCTAAGTCTAAGTCATTAATATGTTTCCAGAAACATTAATGTTTCTAGCTCTGACCCCTGGGGACATCAATTATCCTGTATTAGGGCAGGTGGTGGTGTAGTGACAATGTCATTGGGCTAGTGATATAAAGGCACATCCTAAAGCTCTGGGAATATGGGTTCAAAACCCACCACAACAGCTGGTGAAACTTAAATTAAACTAATTAATAAAGCTGTCTCTGTAATGATGCTATTAAACTGACATTGATTGTTTAAAAAGCTGACTTGCTAACATATTTTAGAGAAGGAAATGTGCCATCCTTACTTCAGCTGGCCTACGTGTGACTCCAGATCCACAAAGATGCAGCTGACTCCGAGATGGTCTAGCAACTCATGCAGTTAGGGATGGAATACAAATACTATCCTCACTAGTGACACCCACATCCCATAAGAAAGAAAATGTCCTCCAGCATTACTCTTTGTTATTCAGTCAGCTTCCTCACTTGGGCTTTGACTAGCAAGTCTATTGTGTGACAATTTATCAAATACCTTTTAGAAGTCCAGACATCAGCCACATTACCAAACATCTCATTATCCTTTTGAAAAGCTCAACGAGTTAGTTAAACATGATATGCTCCCACCATAGCCTCACTGGCTTTCTTTATACAATCTACAATTGTCTAAGTGACCACTAACTTTGTCCCAAGAGATTGTTTCCTAAATATTAAATATTTAAACATTGAAACACTTTTACAAGAACGGTAACAAAATATAACCAACAGCTATACACAACATATCTGCTTATTCTGGATCAAGGCTTTGCACAGATACCTGTTGTTTAATCAGTCTAGTTACTTGTATAGCCTTGGAGAGGGTGCACTGTGCACGGATTAGAATCTTACAAAAGGCAAGAAACTTTAATTATGTGGTGCTTTTCTTAGAAGTTGGGCTGCTTTCTTAGACATTAAAAGGTTAAGAGGAAATTTAAAAGTGATGTTCACAATTATTTAGGTTTTTAATAAAAGTTTGGTTGAAGACTAACTATGGGGGAGGCAACAGCTTACTGGTATTGTTGCTAGACCATCAATACAGAAGCTCAGCTAATGCTCCAGGGACAGGGGCTCAAATTCTACCATGGCTGATGTTGGAATTTGAATTCAATAAAGAATCTAGAATTAAGGGTCTAACAAAGACCACTGTCAGGAAAATCCTTTAGGGAAGAAAATCTCTTATCCTTATATGGCATACAGACCCACAGCAATGTGGTTGACTCTTAACTGTCCTCTAGGACATTAGGGAAAGGCAAAAAATGGCCTGGCCAGAGATGTCCACATTCCATGATTGAACAAAAATACCAGAGGTCACAGATTTATGATGTTTGACAGAAGAGTCAGTGGGAGATAAGTGAACTTTTCTTTTATGCATGGGTTGTTAGGAACGCAACAGACTGGTTAAAAAGGTCAGATGCAAATTCACTAATAACGTTAAAAAGGAAATTAGATAAATGCTTGAAAGAGACAAAAAAAGGTAAAGAAAGCCATTGGGAATGGAATTACTTAAAAGTAACAAGTACATTCACAGGATTAATTATCATAGCTTATTCTTTGTAAGAAATGCAGCACCGAACTTTCTCTAGTCGACAATATAAATGACTGGTAATAATACAGCTCACTCTCGTCAGGGTAACTAAAAACTGCAGATTTAACGATGCAAATATTACTGTTCCAACAATTATACCGCCAAAACTGGCAAAGTGAACATTTACTTACTCTAAATCCACAATACCTGAGCAGTACAACAGTGCTGTTCAGGACATACATGGCATAAAAAGGCAATGCAGCATTTAATTGTACTCTTCAGTGCTGAAAACTTTGAATCAGACAATGACCCAAAAATATCAGGTTCACTTCAAAATAACACAAGTACATTGTGTGTTTGATTTATTTTCCTTCAAATACATCATTCATTTAAACAAGTAGCAAATGAACAAAGATCATTGTTGGCACTTTTTGACTTAGGAAAAGGCTTATCATACTTATCTTTCAGTCCTCCTCATGATAGATGGCTACTTGGCTAAGCTTCACTTTCCAGGTGTCAGTGAGGCATGCTGTATTTACAAATTATTATTAACTTCTTTTGGCCTTACTTTCATCAAAAGCTTTGGGTTGGAAGTGGTAGAGGAATAGGGCTGGGAACAGATGAAATGACATCAAGTTGAAGGATGAAAGGGAGAGGAAAACGTCAGGAGACCACTGGGGTTAAGAGCGAGTGGTTCTAGTGGGAACAAAGAATTTGGGTGCAAAGCAAAATGGGTCAGATGGGGAAAGTGCTGTAGAAGTAGACCAAGGAAAAGGTAAGTAAAGGAAGTGGAAAATGATAAGGCAGAAAGGGAGAAGACTGAAATGATTTATGTAAATGGTTTGGATGAGAATATAGAAGGCATGGTTAGTAAGTTTGTGGATGACTCCAAAATTGGTGGCATTGTAGACAGTGAAGAAGGTTTAAGATTACAAAGGGATCTTGATCAAATGGGTCAGTGGGCTAAAAAAGGCAGATGCAGTTTAATCTGGGTCAATGCAAGGTATTGCATTTTGGTACAACAAACAAGGGTTAGGCTTATATAATTAATGGTAGGACCTTGGGTAGTGTTGTAGAACAGAGGGACCTAGGGGCGCAGGTACATAATTCTTTAAAGTTTGCATCACATACTGACTGGATATAAGGCTTTTGGCATGTTTGCCTTCATTACTCAGTCCTTTGAGCATAGAGTTGAAGTAGTTGTCTTTCCCCAAGATGGGGAATTTCAAGACTAGGGGGCATGTTTTTAAGGAGAGAGGAGAGCGATTTAAAATAGACACAAGAGGCAATTTTTTTTTTTTTTTTAAAATAGAGGGTGGTTCACATGTGAAATGAACTTCCTGATGAAGTGATGGATGCAGGTACAACTACAACATTTAAAAGACATTTGGATGGATCTACGAATAGGAAAGATTTGGAGGGATAATGGGCCAGGACCAAGTAGGTGGGACTAGTTTACTTTGGGATTATGTTTGGCATGTACTGGTTAGACCGAAGGGGTGTATGACTATGGATCTACAATAGGGACTTACATGGTGAAACAGAGGTGGTAGCATTGAACTGGACACCAACACGTTACTTCACAACACTCAATTTATGTGCCAACCTCAATCGGCAAAATTAATTATTTGCACAATGAAGATTTTGAAACTAAATTGTCATTTCTCAACTCAGTTCTGAGAAAGCAACAAAGATTAAGTGATAGGCCAAAGGGAATTGAGGCGGTAGGACAGGAATATCATACAGGAACAGGATAGATTCTTGAGCCTGGTCTGCCTTACAATAAGATCATGCTGACATGGACTCAACTCTATTTGTCTTGTCAGCATATCCTTTGCCAGCCTTACATAACCCAGGGATCACAGCACTGAAAATTTTAATTGATCCAGCATCTGAAATTTTCTTTGGGATGTTCCAATCTTCCACTAGTCTTTGAGAAAAATGCTTTCAGGTTTCTTTCCTAAATGGCCTAACTCTAATTAAGTTAATTGTTAAGTTGGATTCAGCCATGAAAGGAAATAATTCCTCGTTATCTCCCTGTAAAATCTGTTTATCTTTTTTTTAAGACTGCATTCAGATCCTCCTTCAACTTTCCAGCAAGGGAATACAAGGCAAGTTTAAACAACCTGTCCTCATTATTTACCCTTTCAATATTCCAGTATTATCCCAGTGAATCTGCACTGTAACCCTTTCAAAGCCAATATTCTTTCCGCAGGTGGAGTGCCCAGAAATGACAATAGCGTTTAAGATGGAGTTTGACTAAGATTTTGCATAACAAGGGTGGGACTTTCTCACGTTTGTAATTTATTTAATAGGCTAGAAGCTACTGGGAAAGAGAGAGGAGAGATGCAGTGGGAAAGACAGAGACAGAGGGCTAGTGATGACTAATAGAAAGGAAGGAAGAATGAATGAAAATGAAAAGGGATATGGAGAAGACATTAGGCATAAATAAAGACAGGAAGGTGCAGAGGAAAGCAGCTTCATAGCTTGAAAACAGAAAGAAACAGACAGACATACGGATAGAAAGGCCATATATAAGAAAATGGGAGAAAGTGTGAAGCAACAAAATAAAGATGACAGATGATAATCAATGCCATGGGAAATAAATCCCCTGCATTTTCCTATATATCATACCTAATTATTTTCCCAGATGATTTTTCCTCCGAAAGTCTGTCTGTTTCCTAGAAAAATCATCTAAATATTTTCAGCAAAACACAGACAATCAAGAGATGAAAGCTATTGACTAAAGACCACAGCTTACAGGATTCTAACACCTTACATTGCAGCAGTAGCAATTTATGGTGTTAATTTTTCCCTTTAGAAAGGCAGTGAGCTGCTCCAGTTTTAATTCCATCTGCACTGACTTCAATAACCTGGCCTAGTGCCAAATCAATCATTCACACGAACAATAAAACAGAGGTTGAATCTGTTCTCACCAGATGTCCATGGGTGACCAGTTTCTAGTAAAGGACATTACATAGCAGAAAGGAAAAGGGACCAAATAGTAAAGATATGAAATAAGGATGGGTAAATGGGAATTAGGATGTGGATTAACCATGATCTAATTGAATGATGGATCAGCCTTATGGTGTTAAATTCCTTACTCCAGTTTCTAAGAAACTGGCTGATATTTGCCTGCATAGCCCAGGGACACAACTGTAGCACCCCCGACGTGGCTGAAATCATTTCACTCAGCATATTCCAAATCTAAAATGGGACCTTCCTGAATGCAATGACAAATGCAGTGTGTGGTGGCACATTCATCTATTAAGCCATGCAGGGAACTATTTGTCCCTTTCCATTTTGTTTTGTCTGATTCTCATAATTCTAATTGATTCAGCATATGAAAAGGTACACAGCTGTCCAGCAATTATTTTTATCATTTCATCTACAATGAGCTGTATTAGTCCTCTTAGCCATTTTGTGGTAGTTCATGGAAGGGTACTTTCTCATCTCGCTGAATGTTTGCTCCTCTAGCTCTTTAACCACCTGTCTCACTCCTTCTCTCTGCTGAAGATAGCAGACTATGGCCTCTACTGGACTATAACTAATTACAAGCCCTACTTATTTAACATTATTCTAGAGGAGGAACACTCAGTCCCTCACTACATTTTTCTTATTTTATGCAGGATAGAAATGTTGACAACATCTAAACCGTGTATGAGTATGAAAAAAAAGTGTAAAACTTATATTCTCTGCCAAGAAATAGAAAAAACCTACAAAGTTCCAAAAATTATGGCATCATTATAGAATTATATATTGCTAATCCCCTTAGACATGCCAATTTGAGCATATATAATGCTTATTGTACACTGTATTGATCAGAAGCACGTTTTTAATATGTACTATCCCAACAACACAATATAGCAAATTGTGTAAAAACGTTATGATACTGAATCATAATTTTAATTAATCAATGTTGGAATTAAAATATTCGGTATTTAGTCCACAAAACAATTATAACCAGAACAGTTCTGGATTTAGAGATAGTAGGAATTCTGGATTTAGGTCAGCTTTAAATATACAATACTGTTGTAAGCCATTATTTCGAACGGTGCCGAACTGTATTGGGAATTACAAATGGTCACAGAGCATACATAGACTATTCCTCATTTTACCGTGCAGTTGCAAGCGTGGCAACATCTATTTTGTCAGCATAAAGTGTTCGTATGCTTTAAATCACAAAATATTAAGAGTCGACACACGATCTCGAGAAAGGTAACCCCTGGGGATGGGAAGAAAAGTCGGCATGTTTAAGTCAGATGGACAGGCTCCCGTCCACTGCAGCCCAGACATCTTGGTAGATGACTGTACCACCTAAATTAAAACACAAGATACCCGCGATCAGTAGGAGAGACAAGTGTGTTCAAACAGTAAGGTAGCAGCACAAATGAAGGATGCATTCTTGACTCGGAAACACATCTGTCATCACAATTCCATCTGCCCTTTTCTCCCCCTTCACATGAACAACCCCTAAAGGCTAAGATATTGAGCACACACCAACGGAGGAACAAAAACTGGGATGAATAAATACAACTGGTCTCGAAAAAAAAATACACTGGTTAAATAAAATTCTTAATTCTTAATGCATTTTTAAAAAAACAATTGGACGCCTTATTCCACATTTAAATATGTGAAAATTTCTGTACTGAATAATTCAATTCCAGCTGACGACTTAACCTACATGTTTTAACCTTTCAAATTGTGCATAACGATATGAGTTATTGTGGTCATGTAGGACAGAGAAAAAAAAATTATGTTCAATGACAGGCGTTTTAAAGCAATCTTCTTGCTCAAGAAATCTCACTCGGACGGCGTTTTGCATCGGGTAGGTGTTGTAACGAGATGAAAGGTTAAGAGCAGACCTGTACGGATGCCTCGTGTCTCATGCTGCCAGAGCGCCGGCGATCCCTCTGAGGCTGCCGAGAGAGCCGAGCGGAACAAGCCGCTTCCCTGCCGCTGTCACCCACTTTTGTATTGACATGGCCACGCCGCTGCGCATGCGTCTTCCGCGCTCTGCTTTCTGGGATCTGTAGTTCCGTGGCCCGGGGACGCCTCAGCATGTTGGGAGGGAGCGGCCATCGCTATTGGACTACAGATCCCCATCATTCCCGGCGCTTCCCCTCCTGCCCCCATCCCCCCCAAATCCAAACACTACCACACCGCAACAGAGATAGCGCTCGGCGTTGGCAGAAATAAGGTTGGAAGCAAAGGATACGAGCACGGATACTTAGCATGATGTTAGACCGGTATTTAGAACAAACAGCCCGGAAATGTGAACAAATTTTGCAATGTATTATTTTTTGTATATCATCTATGTTACTCACTTTATTTCATACCTTTTAAATGTATCTGCATCCTTGCAAATTTATTTTGTAGCAAGCATTCATCAACAATAATAAATGTCCTTAATATCCTAAAAACGCATGCACAAGTATAAACGTGAATGTTAATATTCATTCTTAAGTTTTGCAGTCGGGACAAAGACAGACTGTTTTCACAGAATTTTGTCTAAAACTCACAAAGACCACGGCCCTTCCCGATATCACAGAGATTCGGTCTTGTAAGACGAAGCCCGTGAGTATAATAAAGCAATGCCTTACCTTTCCATAAAGCTCCATTTTATTCTCACAAGTTCAGAAATGTGGATAAGGATAGTCGAACGATCAAGGAAAGAACAATGTCGATGCTATCGTCTTGGTTGGCAAGTTGAAGGCATATTTGTTCACAGATTCACATTTCAGTCCTCAGCTGCTTTCCGTGTGTCACCCCTCCACATCTGCCAGCAATATAATCTGAACTACAGAGAAGGCAAACGGAAATTCAGGACGGCGCGTGTCATGCTGCTGCTCTGAACAACACGCATCTGTCACTCTTTACATCCGTTGTGATTATATGTTTATTTACATGGGGAACAGAAATAAAGAGAAGGTGGCACTCGGTAATTTTCTAGGTTTGCTCAAAACTTAAGAAAGAAATTGTTGGAACAAAATGTGATCAACCATTTCTGCTGAGGTATCTTGTGTTTTTAGTAACCGGAATCTTTTTTTTTGATTGACCATTTGTGACTACGAGGAAGCTGGCATGCTGTTCGGGCTGCTCAGGGCGGGACAACCTATATATTAACCATCACCTATGGGCCAAAGCATTCTAGAAATCTGAGCTGGTCAATGGCTGGCAGATATTTGCACGCTAGCCAGTCATTCCTGTGTGTTTCATAAAGAATTTAATACATTTAATATTCCCATATAAAAATACGCTAGTCATCCTTACCATTGGTAACTTAAGTTCAATATTTTCCATATTTGTTAAAAAAAAAGTACTGCTTCTAGAATTATTTACATCTTTATATCTCTTTATGAATGTGAGTGGTAAAATCGTGATTGCATTATACATTTGTGATTTTATTACCTTTATCGAATTACTTGTATATTCACGATAGAGGTAATATTACGCTATAATAAACTTATACTTTCCCAAATTTTGTAATGAGCAAGGAGAACTTGTAGAAGGATTGATCAGAATGGGACATGGTCGGCTGCTCAGATGAATTGCAGCGAGAAACTGCGGAACAAAGACCAAGTGGCGGCCAGTGCTGGCTGTCGAAGGAACATTGTGAAAAGGAGCTGATCCAATAAAACAGCGGGCGACAGAAAGTAACAAACGATTCTGTAATTCAGCGAGGCGACCAGGTTAAACTCTCCAATTCATGATATATCGAGGGGAAAATAGCAATCCAATTCCTGTATTTGTATTAGCTTCCGCGTGGCTAAAAGGGAAATGAGGTCGCCGGATTGTTTAAACAGTTACATAAAGCTGTTTGCATTTCGAGGTCAAGGTAAAATTCTGATTTGCTATGGCAACTAAACGCAAATATGCACAGACTGCCTGATAGTGCTCGAGGCAGACCAAATAGCAAATGATTATCTTTTAAGAATAAATAAAAAGCTGCCCGAATCTACTGTAACAAAAACACTGTGCCAATAACTATCGGAAAATACCAATCAGCCATTCCAAAATAATAATCATTACAGGTCTCTGTGCTTTCCGATGGGCCAATTAGTGCTGAAGCGGATAGCTTTCTGGAATTATGTAGAAAACTTGACATCAAGTAGTTTATAATCGCACAGAACAGTATGAGAAGTTGAATGTAGTTTAAAAATAAGTGAAACGTATATATATATCATAAAACGCTTGGATTAATGTAAGAATAAATCGAAAGGATTGATTGCTGTTTACTCACTTGGAGCTGCTTTAAGGTGGTTTGGGGTACAATTGCCTGCAGTCCTGTGCCAACTTCTTTGACTTTTAATTGCTGTGCCCAGTGGTAACTATTGATTCACATGGGCAATAAATGCCAACCTTGCAAGTGATGTCCACACTCTCGGAATACATTTTTTTAAAATGGTGCCATATCTTGTATTGTTACACTAGTTATTTAGTACAGGATCACCATACATTGTAACAACACAAATCTTATTCACAAGAGAAAAAAATCATTTTAACACAAAATGGGACAATGTACAGGAGAATACAATTCAGCTCTTCAACTGTGTCCTCCTGTTTAATTATTTAATGGCTGGAACATACCTCAGCCTCTTTTTCCCTTGACAGCAAACGTTGGTGTTGATTTTGAGTATTTTAATTGCCACAGCATTTACAATATTATGGAGAGCAAGTTCCAGATATCTAGTACATGCTGTGTGTCAAAAAGTACTTCCCAACTTCAGACTTAAATTGCCCAGGTCCAAGTTAAGCATTACATCCTGTTGATCTGAAACACCCAATGTAGGAAATAATTCAAACACCCTAAATAATTATTTCATTATTATACACACCATGATTGGATTGTCATTTGTGCTTCCAAACTCAAAGGAATGTATACCAAATTTATGCGACCTAATCTCATAATTTTTTTAAGACCTGATATCATTATGATGAATACGCCTTCAAAATCATACATCTTTCCTAAGGGTAGATTTTAATGGGTGACCTGGAGTCAATGTGGAGACCATCCTAGCCGATGCCAGTTGCCCTGCAGCAGTTAAGCATTAATTGGCTGAAAGCAGGATGTCTACCCTTCACTTATGAGCATATCCCAATGCAGGAGGCTGCCAGCCAATCCAACTGACTGACAGCTCTGTAATCCTAGCAGTGACAGCTTTCCACACTGACTGCTGCTGGAACAATAAGCAGTCCCCAAATTCAAAGTGCTGGAGTCAGAACAGACATGAGAGTGGAAGGGTGGGATTTCATACAGAACTTAGTATGACACTGGCATGGGAGGTGTTGGGAAAGTGTGTTGTCTTGATGGAGAGATTGGGGTAGAGAGGCAGAAGCACCTTAATGGATGTCCAATGTGAACAGGGTCCCAGTGACAGAGGTACCTTTCCACTTCCCCTCGATGAGCAATGCAACATTGAGGCTTCTCACAGCTCTTGACCAACCCCACCCCATCCCCATCCATAATTCACCTACAATGGGATTTGTTTGATATCCCAATATTTCAGCTATGATTACCCTGCTGAATGACTTTCTTTGAAATCCCAACTTCATTAGGTCTAACAGTTTTTAAATCTCTTCCAATGAAATGGGGAGAGCTTCAGCACAAACAAGGGCCATTAGCATTTTAAGTAGCTTCTCAGAGATGTGTTCAGAAAGGTCTGTATTTGTCCATCTAAAAGCCTCAAATAAATCATCTGACACTTTGAGAGCCCGTTTTGTGCATGAATTATGTCTATATTCCATGTTTCCTTTTAAACATAGTGCCTAAGCTTTACAGGAATACGATGTGACAGTAAGAACTGTCACATGTAAATGTCTATCGTTCCAGTTTACAAATGCGCTGAAGAAGTTACAGACACCAATTAATCTATCAATGGTTAACAGGGATAATATAATCTCTTCCAGTACATGAAAAGTTTATTATGCTTGGAAATCTGAATGATACATACTCAGCCTCAAAAATTGCATTAATATTATTTTTGGTCATTTTGAATAACAAGCAGTGTTTCTCTGAGGTTCTTCTCCTTCTACATAACATATAGCAACTTCTTCACAGGTGGTTTGATCAGTCATTGTGTTACCCATGGATAGTTGACAACAATAAAATGAATGAATTGGACCATGTATTAGTCCAGAATCACAGCAGATAGTTAATTTTTTTTACTGGACTTATGGAGAACCATCAACCATTAATGAGATCATCATCTTCTCAATTTCAACATAGTAATATACTTTACATGACATTTAGCATACTAAACGGCTGTAAAAAACTCAGGATTTGCCAACTACTATCCTGTCATAATTCAAAAAGCGTTTGATGCAGCTGACAACCTCCTGGACAATGAATTAATCTGGAAAGATACAGATCAGCTTTCAGAGAAGCGACTGATATCTGATCAAACTGCCCCAAGTGATGCACTTGTGTATCTGATGAGGTATGCCAAATCCCACAAAAGAACACTGAAGCCAACAACACCAAGATAAAACCAAATGTGAATGTCTAAAAAGCATCTTTGAGGAAAATTCAAAATATTTTGAGAACCTTTGAGAAAAATAAGTCAAAGAATGAACTGGAATTAATTCTCTGCATCTTGCATACTATGTTATTCAGTCACTTGGACTCAGACTAGAAGCAGGTGGTACTGGGGTTAAACCCTGTAAAAGGCAGATAGCACCACATGTTCAATTCTCGAGGAAATTGTGCAAAGACAGAAAGAACATTATGGGAATACATTTTACCACCCTAATGTAACAGCACACTCAGAGCTGAACTCAAGAACAGCAGATATAAAGCTGAGACAACAAGGTGCAGAGCTGGATGACGTTTCGGGCCTAGGGTCTAGGGTCTAGGCGCGAAACGTCAGCCTTCCTGCTCCTATGATGCTGCTTGGCCTGCTGTGTTCATCCAGCCCTGCACCTTGTTGTCTCTCCACTACACCTGCTGTAATATCTGGTTGACCTGTAATACCATGAAATTTTGTCATTACAGCAGGCTCTAAAGAGATGAGATTCCACAGAAGTCTTCCATCAGTTATGAACTGAAGATTGGACTCCAAGTCAGGAAGGAATGTGGATCTTCTCTGAATTGGAGATGATAACAATGTTATCCTAGGTTCACCTAGATATGTCAAATCAGCGAAAAGTAAAAGAGAAAACTGGTGGTGATTTAACCTGTGCATCACCATGCCTCAGGCAACGGCAGAGGTGAAGAAGGAGAATCCTTCATTGGATCCTCAGCCAGTGTAGAAATTGAACTCATCCTGTTGACATTACTCTGTATTGCAAACCAGCCATCCAGCCAACTGAGCTAACCATCTCCCGTACAATTAGTTATAATAAAGTGGAATTCAGTGTGGTTATAGTGAAACTACAGGTATCTATATCTTTGTAGCAGTGCTCATTGCAGTATCTTGTTCGAATCAAGAAGTTTGTCCAGTACCACAACAAATTTCCTTGGCCCTACATTAGCAAACTGGGGTCACTAACAGCCAGACATCTGAATGGCCCCCAATGGAGATCACGCCTATGCCCAACACCAGCTGGCACAGTAAACTTTGCTGGGCTACATGCTTGATGTGGATCTCCCCATGCCTTTGGAAAATAGTAACAGGGGCAGCATGAAGTACTCAATAACCACTTAATGTCTTCAATAGGCCCATGGGTGGACAGGCTGCATAGCACGTCAACAGCCGCTGCCCATCATGTAAAATGTGAGACACAGAGTGGGCATGTGGGGGCACAGGCTGGCCACACATCCATTTTGAATTCCAATAAAC